AGAGGCTACTCGCCATTTACACCGCTGCTCTCCCGCGTGTATCAGCGGGCTCAGTCGTATCGCGGCATGAAGGCCCATATCAATGGCTTTTACGGCCAAGGTATTGTCATGGCGTTTTCGCCACCTGGATATTGTAGGTTGTTTGCTCTAAAGAAGACCTACCAAGGGGGGGTTACGGGCACCCCGGGACCCCCCCTGGCTACGCCCTTGATACTACATTGCTTTTTTTAAATATCGTCTACGATAGACCAAAAGCCGATCTTTTCCTAATGAAACCTTGTTAATCAAGTTCCTTTGCAGTTTTTCATCATGTCGTTTTTCTCACAATACCCAGAACCGTTATTCCTTTTTCACTTTTAAACTATAAAAGTACCTAGAAAAGCGCTGGCTGAATGGAATATAAATTGTAATTCAATGTATGTAGATACCTTTGATTGTAAGATCAAGGTAGGTTCATAAAATCAACTGTTTTCTTTTAAGTTGCGTCTTCTCTTTGACCAGTGTTCGATCACTTATTTTCTCTATGTGTGCGCTGAAACAAGAGAGAACGGTGATGTAATCTTTCTGAGTGCCAATCTTTCCAGACTTGACGCCAGTACTTGAACTCATGAGTGGAGACTGGACTTACAGCTCTTACCCGGGGTCCTTTGCGAATATTTATTGGTAAGGGCGTCGCCAATTTTAGCGAGAGCTTTTGCAACTTGTGATATGTTAGCAGGGGTTTTTCCAGTTACTTCAGTTGTTAGTGAAGGAGATATCCAGCATTCGTTTGATTTTATCAGTCGATTTCCAACCTTTTCCATGTTCTGTGAAATTTCCTCTTTCAAACCAAATTGTAAAGGGGTGTTTTTCTCACTTCTCAAGTAGGGTCGCGACTTTTTTCACTTCTCCCGCTGAAAAATCTTCCCACTGCGATCGAAACTAAGTTAATCAGTGGCTCTCCTTTACTTGTTCCACTTGAGGTTTCAAGGCCGGCATGTGGTGCGACTCGAAGTATACGCAGCAGTTATTTCACAGACGATCACTAACTTCAGGCACACGGCCAACTAAGGGTTGTTTGTCTGAGTGACATTGTAACTCATGCAATGAACTGCAATCAATTTTATGAGGAAATTTACCAGCAGGAATCAACAATATTGTAGTTACGATGAATTATGCAGTCGGCGCGGCATACGAAAAGGAATAACTGATGACTAGGCTTGTTCAAGGAGTCAACGGAGTCTCGTCAAAACACGGAAAAAAAATGTCCCCTGCAGTAGCAAAACTTATGACAGGGACTGTATTAGCCATTTTGCCTTCACTATTTCCTAGATTTGTTTACAAAACCCTGCGTCGCTCGCGAAGCTTCCATAAACGCCAAGGCAGACGAATTGCCAACGGGCGTTTTCGTTGTGGGGGCAATGGGGAGGAGCGATTGATTCCTTTTCTGTGGTTTATGCCGCTTTAACTCTGGCCGCTCTGTCAAACCTAGACTTTCTCAAAGTCGTTCGCTTGGTTTTCTGTTCTGGTGTGGTAGGACTCGCTCGCTCGGCTCGGCTCGCGCTACGCGCTCAAAAGCGCGACTTGTAAGCAAGTTTGTGTCAAACCGAACAACAATAACATAGCAATACCGCCAACAAGGCATGCTCTACTTACATCTGCAGCGCTTCCCTTCAAGAGGTCAATTTCTTCTTTTTTTTTCCCCGCGATCTTTCTGTCTTTGTGCTAAACCGGCATGGAAAATAATAACAGTGGCTAATTGACCTTGGGGAGTAAAACCTCTGAAATTGTTATGGATTTCGAACTCCCTGTTGAGAGAATCCTAACTTTTTGATGAGTTGATTAGAGATCATTGAAGTTAAAAAAATCTTATAACTGACCTCAACAAGAGCTAAAGCGTTGTTTTTTATTTCTATAAAAAAAAAGTGTAAGGTTTTCTCGAACACAGGAAGCGATCACTAATGCGAAAGGACTATGTTTTTCAAAAAAACGTACCGTATATTAAAATACCTGGGATGAAATTCATCAACTAAAATTGGGAGAATTTCCTTAGGCCATTTGTGAGCGGAAGCTGCGATCGCAGTTTGTGTTCTGTGCTCAATGTAGTCAAACTAAGTAAGGGGTCTCTATCTTACGGACGTGAAATTGCCTTGGGTGTTTTCCATGAACATCATATTGTTTCATAATTAGTGTTAGGTTCTAGGTCGTTATGTCAGTTCCTGGTATTTTTAAAATAGCACTTTGGATGCAAAATTTGGACCAATTGAAATTTAGTGGTCATGTTTTAAATGAAAGATGCGAAACAAATGATTATTTCTTTTATAAGTTCAGTAATACAGCTTGAAGATAAATAGTGACTATAAGGAAGAAAAATCCTTGTACTTCCCTTTTCTTATGTTGCCTCATTTGCATATCTCATTCTTGCGATGTAAGGCCCGGTTCAGACGCCGAAAAGTACGCCTGTTGATTCAGACGCCGTTATTTTTGGCCGTTCCAAATACAGTTCCAGTAAAACTAGTCACATTACTGGCAAAATACATTATAATAGTTTATGCATTAGGATCGGCACATGAAAAGTACGGCGTCTAAATCAAAGCCGTTCCAAAGGTGTTCCAAAGGCGAAATTCTCGGCCAAGCCAGGCGGGAAGAACGGGTGAGCCGTTCCAAATTGAAATAGCCGTTCCAAATTGATTCAGACGCCGATATTTTCATGTACTTAATTCAAGGAATTAGGTTCGGCTCATGAAAAGATCGGCGTCTGAACTAGGCCTAACTTCACAGACGTAACTGAAATATAGTGTCTTCCGTAACAAGGAAAAATTTACAAAGCCTGAGCACATGCAAGCAAGCTCTTGCTTTGCTTTGACGCTTACATGAACGAGTAAGATTTATTGAGAGTACGAAGATGAGAATGATACAAAATTTACCGAAAAATTAAAAATGGCAATATCTTCATCTGAAATTAAAGTTCGTATTGGTCTGCTATCTCCTGTGTTTCTTAACTGCCAAGTGTGCGTAGCGCAAGGGACTATCAGTGAAAATTCAAGCGCTTAAAAAAATAGAAACGAAGTTCGGGATAGCATTTTTCCAAAAAAAATGACAAGCAAGTTCAGAGGAGTGTTACATGCTTCTTCGATAATTTATGTACTTTCCTTTGGAATGTTTTTTTTTTCTTAACTGCGGAGCAAAGGAAACTGGAAACTATCGACGTGCTACTCGTGAAAACGAGGCTAATACAAATTTCTTCCCTTCTCATCTTCCATCATGGCGCTTATGAGGGACACGTGTCGTTCTGTAGGATTTTTCATTTCTACTTTGGTTGTTTTGCTTGCCTGTTTTGATCTGACCAAAGCAGGAGGAAAAACACTGGTCCTTCTTGATAACGCCAACACAAAAGAGACACATTCCATCTTTTTCAACTCTTTGAAAGGTAAGAACAAACTCCATTTGGAAGCTGGAGGTTAACAAAGACTTACTAGGAGACGATTAAAATTTTGGGCAGAGAGCACGAAAAGATGAAGTGTATACTATGGGGATGCTGAGTTGTATTAACTTTTTTAATAACATTTTAGCGTGTAATTTAGATCAATACATCTAACATTTGTTCGCGAAATCATTCTCTGAGACGCATCAATTGAATCAGCTTCGGGATTGCAAAAAGGCATCAGCTGAATGCACCAGGCACAAAGTAGCATCACGAAAATTGATTTTGAAATCTTTAATTATCTAGGTACAAGTGTAATTATTTCGAAATGAATCGAAAGAAAGAAAAATTTTGATTTACAGGATATGGGTTTTTATTGTGTTGTGGTTAGTTGAAAACAATGAATCAAAAATATGTTTTAATTAACTCTTTGACCCCAAAGAGTGACCAGCATCTAATTTCTCCATACAATATTACCCCTGAATCACACATTGAAGTCATGAGAATAAAGAAAATGATCACCATTGAAGGAAGCTCTTGATTGTTAGACAAATTCCCCTTGTTAGCA